ACAGTTGGTTTTTTGCTCGATAGCGATGTTGAAACTTCTTCCAACAATGTAAGGATGGCGTCAACAGTGCTTCTATTTGATCTGAAGCCAAACTGAGTGTTTCGAATGATATTAAATTTGTCTACATATGATTGGGCTCGTTTAAAAATTATACGCTCAAAAATTTTGCCCTGAACTGGAAGAAGCGAAATTGGTCTATAGTCTGAGGGGTCATTGATGTCTCCCTCCTTGAAAATTGGAACAAGTTTTGCAATTTTTAAACAATTTGGATAGATTCCTGAGGTCGTCATTCAAAATTTCAGTCAAAGGGCCTGCTAGTATAGTTCTTAAATGCTTGACGAGAACAGTGTTGATACTATAGCAATCTGTACTATATTTATTTTCTAAACTTTCGATGACCTCAATGACTTCAATTAAATCAATTTTTTTTTCAAAAACAACGATTGCTGCTGACGTATAACATTATTTTCCATGCAGTTTGGTTTGCTCTGTGTAAGTCTGGCGCCAATATTTGCGAAGTATTCGTTAAAAGGCTCAGCGTCCCCGTTAGATAGATTTAAAGATTTAGAAATTTTCCTTTTACCACTCATTTCCTTGAAAGTTTCGAAAAAAGTTTTCGTTTTACAATTAGACTCAAGCATTAGTTTATTTTGATAGTATTTTCGTTTTTTACGTATGATTAGGTTTTTGACAATTTTATTTTGGGAACTATACTTATTCCGGGCATCCGTTGTTTTAATATTCAAAAACTCTTGTCGTAACCGTCGCTTTTTTGCTGCTGCATTTTTTACTTCATTGTCAATCTATGGATGTCTTTCTGATTGTACTAGTAAACGCTTTGGAAAAAAAGTATCAACTGCCTTCATAAGGATCGAATTTTTTTTCTAAAATCCTAGAAGACATTTTCGCCAGAATGAGAGTGTTATCGTCGATCTTCACGTCTGGTGTGACTTTGCGCTCTTTGGTGCTAGGCATGAAGAGCGTGACGGAACATTTCGGTGTTGATACTTCCAAGCCTCGAGAAACCAGAAATTTGCAGAGCGTCGTCAGGTAGCTGTTGATGTCTTTGCTTAATGTCTCTACGTCGGTCCCAAAGGCAAAAACTATGAAGTCGTCGGCATAGGATACTAAGAAAAATGTCCGTGGGGGCAATGGAGCATCTGCCACATAGAAATTGAACAGCGTAGGAGCCACAACCGATCCTTGTGGAACTCCAAATCTGACTAAACGGCTGCTTGACAGCGTCTCCCTGAACAATGTGTAGGCCTGTCTACCGTGCAGGTACGTGGCTAACCAGCGTGCAAGGGCTCCTGGAAGCGTGTACTCGTTAAATCAGCTTCAGGAGGGTAACGTGGCACACAGAATTGAAAGTTTTCGAGAGGTCTAATGCAACGAGAACAGTACGGGCCGCGGGTTTTTGTTGATTGAAGCCGTCTGCGATTGCAGTTGATAGTTCGTTGAGCGCTGTGACTGTAGAGTGTCGCGGTCTGAAGCCGTATTGATGTTTTGCCGTCTTGAGGTGTTCCTGGAGTATCGGGAGAAGGCACTTCTCGAGTATCTTGACTGCGGGGCAAAAAAGTGATATCGGCCGGTACGACGCACTCTCGTTGGTGGGTTTTACTGGCTTCAGTAGTGGAATGATGATGGAAGTCTTCCAGATGGCGGGTATTTGACTTCTTGAAAGTGACAGGTTGAACGTGCTCGTCACATGTTCGTTGGCTTTGGGTCCCAAGTTTTTGAGATGGATCATTGTGATGCCATCTGGGCCTGTGGCTTTCGAGTTTCTGACCTTCTTCAATGCCTTGATCACCTGGGCTGTGGTGAGCGTTGGGTGATCTGCAAGGGATCTGTTTTGGATGCTCTTGGTGATGGTCCTGTAGGCTTGTGATGTCCTGTGGGCCCTCGGAATGGTGAACTGCTTGTTAAATCTGTGTGCCAGGTCCTTCGCGGAGGTAAACGTCTTCTTCATTTTTTTCCCTTTGAATTTGTTAGGCTGGTTTCTCCGCTGTTTGCTTGTCTTGTTGCCTATTGCTTTTACTGTTCTCCAAAGTTTTGCTGTGTCAGTACGGTGGTCGAAACTGCTGAAGATATCTTTCCATTTGGCTGTTTTGTTCTGCCGGATGGCTATCTGGATGCGGTTGTTAAGAGTCTCGACCTCCGGTGAAGTCGGGTTATGAGAACGGATGTTGTCTCGTTCGATGATCCATCTGGAAGCTGGCTCCAGAAGTAGGGGTATCACATCCTTGCGGCGGCCTGAGGGGATGTGATGCTTTAATGCTGTATAGATGGCGTCTCTCAGTAGGTGTTCGCCAGAGTACACATCGGGATCTGGCGATCTCCCAATCCCAACCCAAACCTTCTGGCAGCGGGTTTTGCAGTCCGCTGAACGGCCATTTGCACCAACTGACAGCTGGTGTTGGTTCCACCAAGGAAATAGTTTTCGAAATTGAAGCAAATTACTACTGGCTTGTTTTTGTTGAATTCTAAAACGCAAAAGATAAAAGTTGTAATATGAAGTTGTAATGGTTATGGCATCAAAGACACTAAATTGAGTCTAGTTCAGGGCAACTAGCAAAAATAAAAACCCTTCAAAACTGTTTTTTATGACCGCTAATTCTTCGTTTTGATTCAAAAGGTAAAAGCATTTGTATTTCGAAGTAGAGCGCTCAACTACTATTTGGTACAAAACTTTTTGAGAGTAGAAAAAACAAATTCAACTGCATGTAATTATTTGCCTCTTTGTCTACTGCTAGAATTCTTGTAAGTTAGCTGTTTTGCTAAGCGGCAAATTGAAAAGAAAGTAGAAAATCAGTAAGACTTGTTTTGTCCCTTTTTCTAAAAAAAAGTAAAACACGGGAGTCATAGTTTAATTCAATTTGGTTCGTTTTATTTCAAGGTGTACTTCAAGACTTTCGTCTGCAACTGTTTGTTTCTTTGACTTGATCAGTCAGAATTGGGAAAAGTCCAGAATAAATTGTTATATTCTTGTTGGAGTCAAGGTGCTGTAAGAGGAAGTCATTCCATCAGGTTTATTGTCAGACTACCTTTTTGAAAAGATGATCGCGCGACTTTGTTGAAAATGAGTTAAATGTTTTTGTTTTGGTCAGCTTGGTGGAGACTTTTCCTGCATATAATTTTTACAGAGTGAAGTAAAGCCAGATAGAACAGAAAATTACCACGTGTATCTAACTTAATTTTTCAAAACTTATAGAATGATATTTCAAATAAATTGCTTTTAATGTTTTTAACAGTATTTAGAATTTCGATTAACAATTTTGTAAAAGAAAGCACGCAAAAAAATAAAATCCGATTTTCTAAAAAGAGCGACCCGATGAAACTGTTTACTAAAATCTGGTGACAGCAAAGACTCTAAGTATAGATATATTTTTTTGATTTCAACCCATGACAATTGTTAGGGCCTCAGAAGTCAAATAATCTTTAATTCAACTATGAAGAATAGTTCTTGTAACTTTCTTAATGTTGAAGCTGTATTTTGAAAAAAAAAACGTTCAGTTGTTATGGATGGGGTATACATGCCTGAACATTGCAAATTGTATAATGGACACTTATTCTTGAAAAGAAAAGAGGCCTGCAGTAATCATCTGAGAGCTGTTTATCGCGAGATTTATTTAGCGTTAGATTTGTTTACCGGTAGGTTGATACAGGGGACGCAGTACAACAGTGCCGAAGTCCAGCAGTGCTGAAAATGAAAACTTTGTTCAACAGTGCCGAAAATGAAAACTTTGTTCAACAAATATGAACAATATGAACAAATTTCCACATATTAAGTGCGGCAATCAAAAATTAAACGGCGACAAACGTTTACAATCTGAAGTGGCACTTAAAGATTTTGGGAGAGAAAATTTGCAATTTAGACGTTTTGGCGCCAAAATAATTGTTAAACTTGCAGTTGCAGACATTTTTGGCGCCGAAATTGGAGTGATTTTCTTTGATAATTAGCGTCAGTAATTTCTCGCTCTTTAGAAAATGCGTTGAAATTATTCTGAAATTTTCCTGCCTTTTTCGGCACTGTTGTACTTCGGCACTGTTGAACGCCCCCATACAGGGCGCAAAAGACAATCTGGTAGGTTTTTGTTTTACTCATTATAAGATGTTGAAAAAATGTGAATATTTTTGCACAATCAAGTGGATACTGCAAGGGTTTCATCCTATTTGGTTCTTTTCACTGGTTCTCAATAGATAAACAAAATAAAATCTTTCAAATTTTAAACTTAAAACCATTGAGACCCGAACCTTCTCTTAGCACATGATTTGGAAAAGATGTCAAACTTATCATTAGCGTACTTGACCATTGTCCAACAAATTTCTGACTACGCAATTTTTCGGCATGTCTTTTTTTGTGTTTGCATTAGGTTCTATCGATCTTTAATCATAACCGCTTACGAGTGAAGTGCATCAGGGTTCTTTAAAACCATCGAAAGTTTAGGTTTGCTTGGTGTTCAGGCTAAACTTAATTTTTACCTTTTGCGTGTGTGGTTCAAGGAAGTAGTGTTGAGTCTTTCCTTTTTTTTCACTCAATTGGACAGTCGCTATCTAATTTTGTTCCTTCATTCATGTCTTGCAGAATACTCTCATAAAAATTGTATGACTAGCATTTTTGGTCAACCTGGGATTGCACAATATATTCGTGCTTTTAACGCTTAAGCGTAGATTTAACCCGTCTTAGAAATCGTATCAAATTGAATTGCGATATGCTATTTGGTCGATTTAACACTTTAGCATTTTGCTAAATGCTAAAACTATAATTTTGTTCTTAACATAGCGTGTGGGGATAATTTTCAAAAGTAAAATCTTAGAAAAAAAATTTGAAGTTTTAATTTTTTTAAATATGATGATCAATTCATTAAAGCGAGCACTACTCCATAAACTTTAAAAGGCAGTCGGAACATTCAGGACTTTGCCCTTATACGAGCAGTTTTTTTTCCGCTTTTGAATACCAATATCATTTTTGAAAAACTGAAATAGTGATTTTTGTTTAGGTTAGCAGCTCTGCATCGCATATCTATTTCAACGTCAGCGATGCAATACAACTACACAACGAGCAAAACGATGGTTAAGCTTTGCTTACTATTGTCAATATATGAATCTCTGGGATTATATCCGAACCCAGCTTTCCAACCGCGTCATTTCGAAAGGAATTACCTCAATCAAGATTGGGAGAAATACATAATTATGTTTGAACCGCTGAATGTGCTTCGCAAACAGAAACACTTTTCGCAAATATCCAATGAGAGGGACGCAATCAACAGCCATTATCTATATGTGAAGTACAACCCAAAACTAAACTCCATGAAAAAAAGGCCATCAGCTTTCAACTGGGGTTAGAAGATCACAAGACAGGAGTATCGGATCCTTTTCTCTCAAAAAGTTGAATCATTTTAGAAGAGAACAAAGGTTTAAGCATCCGCAAAATCAGATACAGTGGCCGGTTTTTAGCGTGTGTGTCGATTAGCATGCCCATGGAAAATGTGCCATTGATTCATTCGCTGCTTCAAGGTTATATACTCAAAAAACTGCCATTTTGAATTGCGCGCACTTCACTGAGTAATTGATCTTTCTCTAACAAATCAAATGATTTTCATATTTACTTGGCAAGGTAGGATAATTGTTTTTTTTTGTTTTAATGAACACATCATTGAAGCAATTATCGCATGCTAATAGGCACACATGTTCTTATCGCTACGCTCCGATCACATACAGCAATTTCATCGACATCAGCCATGCAGCGACAAATTCTACTTGTGATGAAAGTAATTATCTTCATGTTGCTTTTGAAAAGAGATATTGAGTTGATGTTTTTCTACATAATTGCATGCTTTCAGTTTAGCGAATTATCAAAGAATCCAAAAGAGCAACGAAAATAGCATTTGTTCGATCTACTAAGATAGTTATCATAGATCCACTTATTGAACAAATAGGCCTAGGAACCCTTTTGGCGATTCGTTCATGTCAGAAAGACCAAATGCCTATCTACTATATTTTAGCAGTTAACTGAGATCTGGTCACTGTAAAACCTTGATTTTCTGCTACAGACCACGAAAATTGTACAACTGGCGTTTCTTTTTCCGAAAATAATAATTGCTTCTACAGCCACAAAAAGGTTTGATGTTGAATATTAGTACTTTCACAGTTGAGACACAATATGTAATGGTATGAAAACTGTTTTTGTATGTCCACACCTTCTAGTTACCTTGAAAAAAAACCTGAAACAGGAGCGGATTTTTTCTCTTCGCCCTCAAATGATTCATCAATTTTTCTCGTTTGACGACATCCATTTTTGCTTACCCAACACAAGTGTTTCTGAAAAGAGTCCGGTACCAGTGTGCACTAAAACTGACAAAGAGCGGACGGGTGCGCGCATAAAAAACATGATTTTCTTGATAGACAATTTTTTCAGAAAAGTTTTTCTGCAACCTAGTCTTTAAAGTGGTTTCAGAATTCAAGTTTTTATTAATCATCAATCCGTGGCAAAACTTGTGTTTAACAACTGGTTGAAACCATATTTTACTTCATCAATTTTTGCTCAAACAATACCCTAATATCTCCTAAAGAGCCTTCGGTATCAGTATGTACTGAAACTGACGGAGAGCAGACAGGTGCGCGCTAAGAAAATGATTTTTTGGTTGACTTGTTACCTAGAGTTTTTTTCGATAAAGGGTCGTCAAAGTGTTTTCGGAAATCAAGTTTTTAAGAATCTGATTTTCTTGTCATCAAATTTTTCTTGTTTAGTTATTGGTTCCAACCCTCAAAAGAATTGAAACACTCCCGGTCATCGGTCGAAAGAATAACAAGAGTGCCTTGATCAATAAGTAACTTTCAAGATTTCGGTATGGTTTTAAATTCAATTCAAAAGTTTTACATAAACAACCGAGGCGTTTTTGAAATCTGATATACAAGATACACTTAAAAAACTAAAGTTTTTAGGCATGTGCAGGACTGGTTTCTGTATGTCCAGACCTTTTAGGGCCTATCAAAAGCAAATCTGAAGCAAGAGCTGGTTAATTCCCCTCTCCATCAAAAAACGCATCCCTACTTTCTCATTTTGCGACATCCATTTTTGCTTAGCCAAAACCTAATTTTTTCTTTTAAAAATTTTCGGTACCAGTATGCCTTAAATCTGATGGCGAAAGGACAAGACGGGTGCACGCTGAAAAAAACATGATTTCTAAGACTATTTTTCCACAAACCTCTTTCTGCAACAGAGTCTGAATTTTTTGTTTAATATTTGGCTAAAACCATATTTTACGTTCTCAATTTTTGCTCAGTCAACACCCTAATAGTTCGTAAAGAGCCTTCGGTACCAGTATGCATCAAAGTTGTCCGCAAACAGACTGGTGCCCGCTAAAAAATGTGATTTTTTGATCGACTAACTTTCCAGAAAACTTTTTTTTGATACAGGTTCTTCAAAGTTTTTTCGGAAATCAAGTATCTACAAATCTGATTTTTCTGTCACCAAAACCCTTGTATTTGGCTATTAGTGGCAACCGTCAAAAAAATTGAAGCACACCCGAAAACAAAGTTCATCCCATTTTCAGTGGTCGGAACAATAACAAGAGTACCTTTATCAATGGGTAGTTTCGAAGATAATGATATGTATTCGCATTCAATTCAAAAGTGTCGCATGAACCATTAAGGCGTTTTGGAAATCTGATGTACAAGAGGAAGTGAAGAAATTTAATAATATATTCAAACAAACACTCCAGTAGACAGAGCCTAAGCGGAGCTGCGCAAAACTTGTCGTACAACAATAGCTTTGCATGGCAAGCTACTGGACAAAAATTCGACAAAAAAATCAAAAAAGGTAATGCGTTTTTCCTCGATTCAATTAAAACAAAAGTTTTCAACTCATTAACCTTCCGTCTCAATTTTTTCATTAAATTTGATGATTCAACACAAAAGTAACTGATTACTATTTTTTAATCAGTAATTAAAATGATTTCGTCGGTTACACAATATAGGGAAACAAATGGAAACAATTTATGTTTGCCGTTGAGGCCCTTTCATACCCTAAAGTTCAAAAAAGTTTAAGCTAGATCTATATTAAATAGATGTTAAACAAAAAAAGTGTCGACAAAAAATTGTTGGTGACATTGCAAGCGTAGTGAAAAGTTCATTTTAAAGCTTGAAGAACCCCGATTATTGCCACCATAATTAAAATCAGATTTTGGACTATTTACCCGATTTTTTTCTTCATAATTCAACAGCAGAAATTTCTCCTTCAACGAGCAAGAGAGAAAATGAAGCTTCCTCTCAGAAATACAAAGTTACAAATTAGACCCTATCGATTTCGAGTAAACTTACTTTTAATAAAATTCCAAGAGCTTTTAGGTATGCGCAGGACCTGTTTTTGTATTTTCTGGGTGCCTAGAATTTCTGGGTGCTTAGAATCTAACAAAAGTGTGAAAATTTTGGAAACACTGTTTCAAAAAAATAAGAGTTTTTTACTTAAAGAGAATTTAGACTGACTTGCGCAGGACCGGATTTTGTACGCCCAGACAAGTGCAAAACTCGGACCTGAAAAAAGAACGGATAATATTCCCCCACCCCCAAAAAAAAAGATTCACTCCTTGTTATCATATTTTAAGACATCAATTTTTGCTCAACCAACACCCCAATAGTTCCTAAAGGGCCTTCGGTACCAGTATGCTTTAAAAAGGATGGCGAGCAGACGGGTGTCCGCTAAAAAAGTGATTTTTTGGGTGATTAACTTTCAATAAAGCTTTTTTCGATTCAGGGTCTTCAAGGTGTTTTCGGCAATTAGGTCTTTAAAAAGAAAAGCTTTTATTATCATCAAAACTTTCGTGTTTAAGTATTGGTGGAAAAAGAATTGAAACACTCCCTAATACGACATTTCTCCCCCGGTCGGAACCATAACAAGAATGCCTTTATCCGTGAGTAATATTCAAGATTACTGTAAATTTACAAAAACAACTAATAAAGCTTGCAAAAAATATTGAAACGGTTTTGAAATCTGATATGCAAAAGAAAACAAGGAAAGCCTTATAAACAGATTGAAACACAAAATTTAGCAGACAGAGTCAAAACGGCACAAAGTTTTCGATACAACATTAGCAAAGCATGGCAAGCAATTGGATAAAATAGACAAAAGAATCGGAAAAAAGTAGTGCGTTTTTTTTCTGATTCACTGAAACCGAATGTTATTAATTCATAACTTTTTGACTAATATTTTTCTCATTTGCTGCTTTTGTTCTAATTTATTTTTCAACAAAAAAGTAATTGAATCATCAATTTTCTATCAATAGTTAATTTTTTTATTTAAAAAAGGGGAAGGAGTGGAAACAGTTTATGTTTGCTTTTGCGGCCCTTTCAGGCCCTATAGTTGAAATCACATATATAGAGATAAATTAAAAAGCAAAAAAAATTGCCGACAGAAAGTTGTTCACTTTAAGACTTGAACAACCCTTATCCCCACCATAGTTCAAAATCAGCCATTTTATTCAATTTTGGACTATTTAGGCGACATCCATTGTTCAATATTTTAAGAAGCAAACATTTCTCCTAAAACTAGTAATAGATATAAAATAACATCGTTTCTGGTAAATAATGTTACAAATTATATCCAATTAATTTTGCGTAAGCTTTGTTTTAGTCATGCGCAGGACCAGTTTTTCTACGCTCAGACATTGTGGGTACCTAGAAACTGTCAAAAGGGTTACCAGTTTTGAAATGATTGGCTAAAAAAATTTGAAAAGTTTTAAGAAACCTAAAGAGTATTTTGCATGTGCAGGAGGACCGGTTTTTGTTCGTCCAGACTTTTTAAGTACCTAAAAAAATCAAACTTGAAAAAAGAATGGATTAATACCTCTTTCCAGTAATTATTTTTTGATTAGAAATGAGAGGGGAAGGCCTGGGAACAGCTTATATTTGCGTTTCAGGCCCTTCCAGGCGATATAGTTTGAAACAATTTAAGCTAGAATAGATTGAAAATTTGGATAGATTGAAACAAATTGTCGACAAAAACTTGTTTGTGAAAACGCAAGCGTAAGGAATTGTTCAATTTAAAACTTGGATAAATCTAATTAATACCACCATAGGTCAAAATCAGCCATTTCAAAGCAAAGTTTTTGTCCATTTTGTATTATTTAGACAATACCCATTTTTCTATAGTCTAAGAAGCAGACTATTTTCGCTAAACGATTAATAGAGATATTAAAGCTTCTTTTCTGGTCTACAATGTTACAAAATAGACCGGAGTATTTTTGTATACATTTTGTTTTTGTATTAAAAAAGACAACCTTTAAATTTGGACTTGTGTTTCGCTATTACAGAAGTGGTGTTGCGAATCTCAGAAGAGCTATCATTTTTTGTGACTCCAGGCCGTTTTTCCTCTAGAATTTTTGCGTGGTACCACTATTGAAGTCGAGGCTGTGGTAGAATTGAATTGAAACTAGAGGTCAAGTAAGAGCTCGTCCTTGCACTTTGTGTTTGCCATGGATAGAGATCTCGAACTAAATAACTAGAAAAAAATATCAAAAAGATTTAAAATAAGTACCAAAAATTTCGAATTTTTTGACAACAAGAAATTTCAAACATCTATTGATATAATTTTTGTCAAAATCTGCATTAGTTGAAACGCGTTACCAATTCATTCAGAACAAATCAGAATAAAAATATGATCGGCAAATAGACAAAAAATTTAAAAACAAGGAATTTTAATCGGTTTGAAGGAAAAATTAATTTTACTGCTGAGGCTGTTCAAGCAATTAAACTGTTCAAGCGATGAAACTGCTAAGCGATCAAGCTTTTAAATTATTTCTTAGCATGAATCAGTTCCCAGAAACTTGCAGTTTTTCTATTT